TGAATTCGATGCGCAGTCTATGAAATCCAGTGCTAGAAACAAGTTGCTGAAATCCTAGAAACACTATCTATATGGTATTTCCCCACCAAGAGTTCTGTAAGTAAGAACTTCTCTCCACAGTCACCAATTACAGCACCACCTGATAGAGAAAGTTCCCAAATATCCAGATGGAACAAGTAAAAACCATTAAGCATTATATAAGGACAGATTCAAGAATGAACCCACTGAAAATTTTGGAGTACAAGACCTTAATAAACATAAAAAACATGCTAAAACTACCATATTATTAAACCAAAATTACAGATGGAAACTCAAGGTTGGCAATCTAATGTTAAGACGCAAATGGCGTGTAGAATCACAAGAAGCTGCCCTATCCCTTGATTGAACCCAGTCCCAGTCCCAGCTCCTGACGCCTACTCCTGTTCTCTGTCTTTGTGCTTCTTTATTTTCTTCTCCTCCTTTTCACTTCTATTAGCATCTGATGAGTTGCCATTCTCTGCATCCTTGTGCTTCTTTTTTTTCTTCTTTTTCTCGGACTTCTCCTCATCTAAGGACCCAGAATCAGCATTGGTTTTATCCTTCTTTTTCTTATCCTTTTTTGGGTTCTTGCCACTACCGTCAACAGTATCATCGCCACCCTCATTTTTTTTCTTCTTCTCCTTCTCTTTCTTCTCAACTTCCACAGTCTCAACCTCATCTACCTTCTTCAATTCAACCTTCTCTTTCGCCTGCACTGTCTCTTCAGCTTCCAAAGAGACCTTAGATTTCTTAACATCTGGCACAGGGCAACCATCAACCTCGTCTAGTTTGCGCTTACGTCCCTCCTCTCCATCCTCCTCCTTGTTCTTGTGTTTCTTTTTTTTCTTCTTCTTCTCAACCTCGTCCACAGCACTCACCACATTCGTCAGAGCAGCTGGCTGTGGCTCCGCAGCTGCAGCAAGGCCAGCAACCATAGAGTCACCTCCAGAAGGCAGGACAACATTCCTCAACCACTCAGCCGGGGTATCCTCATTTGGCTTTCCGTGCTTATCCAACTTCCCCTCTACAATCAGTTTCTTCTTCATTGATGCCCTTGGTCCCAACCCCCATTTCCTGGGATATGTATCCCTATCCATTACCACCCTCTTGATCCTGGCAACTGTTCCGTGGTCGCACGTGGCAATCACCGCAGTTGTCATCTCTGCAATCCCCAAAGCAATCGCCTCACCCTTAGTAGTCATCAACACAACTTCCTCTCCAACCTCAACATCATTCTCAAATCTCAACAACCCTGGAATCATCAGCTTTGCACCGTAACATATAGCATTCACCGCGGAATCCTTCACCACTAACCTCTTATAACTAGTCAAAACAACTTCCAATGGCATAATCGCCCTCCTCAAATAACTCTCATCCCTATAGTTATCATACATCCACTGCGCATCCAGGACATCGTGCATTGTAACCATGTTATCCTTCTCCCCCAAAATCCCCGACCTCACTCTCCTCAGTTCCTGCATATGCCCTCCTACACCCAACAAAAGCCCCAAATGCACACATAGAGTCCTCACATAAGTCCCTGCCTCACATGAGATCCAGAACACGACCAAATGCCTATCAGCATCATACTCTAGCAACTTACTCTCATAAATGGTCCTAATCCTAAGCTGTCTCTTCACGGCAGAAATAAGTGGGGGACGCTGAAAAACCGCCCCCGTCAAAGTCTCAAGCGCCCTCGCCACCCTCGCAACCTCAGGAACTTTTGAATGCAATCGAGCAATACAAACATACTCTTTCCCAGCACCCTGCTGGGATTTCACCAAGCGCGTAGCTCGATCGATACAAACAATCAAATTCCCAGTAACTTTCGGGTCCAAAGTCCCCGAATGCCCAGTTTTTTCAACTCGTAAAATGCGCTTAATCCAAGCCACAACTTCATGGGAAGACGGGTTCGCGGGCTTATCGAGATTCAAAATACCATATTTAACATACTCAGGCAAGGGGCGTTTCAAGGGGGAGTAACCGGAGGGGATGGGAGTGTAGTGCCCCGTACGTACATTCAATTTGTCATAGTTTTTCAGCAGAATCGGCCACTGGGAAGTGTCAATGGCGGGAGTGTAGCTCTGGGGCTTTATCAAGAAATCAGTGGTCTCCTTTACATCAGCCGTGGGGTTTATCGGGTCGGAGTTTTTGGATTTGGTTTTCTTCTTCTTTGTGTCGGAGCTTGATGCCTGAACATCAGCCATGGCTGTGAACCGGATGA